GGAAGAACAGGATGCTTCAATAGTGGCCTTCAGCTCTTCTGCATTGTTCGTTCTCATGTCTCTCATCTTTCTCTTGGCAGTGCCCATAGATTCTCTATGGGGTTCAGGTCAGGTGAGTTTGCTGGCCAATCAAGCACAGTAATCCCACGTTCATTGAACCAGGTTTTGGTGCTTTTGGCAGTGTGGGCAGGTGCCAAGTCCTGCTGGAAAATGAAGTCAGCATCCCCATAAAGGTGGTCTGCGGAAGGAAGCATAAAGTGCTCCAAAATCTCCTGGTAGATGGGCTGCATTGACCCTGGACTTAATGAAGCACAGTGGACCAACACCAGCAGATGACATGGCTCCCCAAATCAACACAGACTGTGGAAACTTCACACTGGACTTCAAGCATCTTGCAGTGTGTGCCTCTTCATTCTTCCTCCATACTCTGGGTCCTTGGTTTCCAAATGAGATGCTAAAGTTGCTCTCATCAGAAAAGAGGACTTTGGACCATTGAGCAACAGACCACGTCTGTTTTTCTTTAGCCCAGGTAAGACGCTTCTGACGTTGTTTGTTGTTCAGGGCTTGACAAGAGGAATATGACATTTGAAGCCCATGTCCAGGATCTGTCTGTGTGTGGTGGCTCTTGATGCACTGACTCCAGCCTCAGTCCACTCCTTGTGAAAGTCCCCAACACTTTTGAATGGCCTTTTCCTGACAATCCTCTCCAGGGTGCGGTTATCCCTGCTGCTTGTGCACCTTTTTCTTCCACACTTTTCCCTTCCACATAACTTTCTATTAATGTGCTTTGATACAGCACTTTGGGAACATCCAACTTCTTTTGCAATTCCCTTTTGAGGCTTTCCCTCTTATGGAGGGTGTCAATGATGGTTTTCTGCACAACTGTCAGGTCAGCAGTCTTTTCCATGATTGTGATTCCTACTGAACCAGACAGAGAGACCATTTAAAGGCTCAGGAACCCTTTGCAGGTGTTATGGCTTAATTAGCTGATTAGAGTGGGACACTTTGAGCCGAGAATATTGCACCTTTTCACAATATTCTAATTTTCTGAGATTGTGGATTTGGGGTTTTCATGAGCTGTAAGCCATAATCATCACAATTATGACAAATCAATTTGAAGTATCTTGCTTTGCATGTAATGAGTCTATCTCATATATTAGTTTTACCTTTTAAGATGCATTACTGAAATAAATTAACTTTTGCACGATATTCTCATTTTTTTTAGTTTCACCTGTATAATAGGATTTTTTTAAATTTTACTAGTAATGGCAGTGATCAGCAACTTATAGCGTGTCTGCGGTGGGCATTTTGACACTGGGGGGAATTGACTTAGTGTCACTGACATCCCTACTGACACCAATAAAGTGATCAGTGCTAAAAAAAAAAAAAAAAAAGCATTGACACTGTACTAATGGCACTGGGCAGGAAGGGATTAACATGAGGGGTGATCAAAGGGTTAACGGTGTGCTATGTCTGTGTGCTTCACTGTACACACACTGCTTTGCATGGTTGTGCTCTGCACAGCCATGCAAAGCAGTGTGCACAAGCTGACAGGGAGGAGAACTGTTTTGTTTACAAACAGTTCTCCTTCCCGTCGGAGAGGCTAAGCAATCACTGGGTGCCGGAGAGTAATCATATGGCAAGTAATCATATCACGCGCGATCCCCTAACTGGAAATGTGAAATCACATATATATACGTAACTGTGAGCACCCGTGCTGACCTGTAGCAGTATTTCTGCTATAGAGCGGTCGGGAAGTGGTTAAACAATGTGCGGGGATGTGCTAATTTTTTGTAGCCACATAAATCAGTGGTCATGCACAATACAGGATTTTTTTAAATTAAAATAATAAACATGTCATACTTACCTGCTGTGTGCAATACCTTTGCACAGAGCAATCCCAATCCTCCTTTTCTGGGGTCCTCTGCGGCACTTCTGACTCCTCCCCCACACCGAGTGCCCCCATAGAAGGCTGCTTCCGACCGGGGCACTAGTGCATGCTTGATCCCGAGTCAGGCTGTGTCTATTCAGACACACAGCCCGGCTTGGTCCCATTCCCTGCCCTTCGGGTTTTGAACTGGCACCAGCATGAGCTGCTGGGGGCGGAGGGGTCATTAAAAAGTTTATTACTTTAAAGCAGACAATGCATTAAAGCAGTAGTAAACCGCAGGTAAAAAAAAGAAAAATCCCCCTGAAAGGAAATGTCATAATGTGCTAGCACGCATCTAGCACATTGTGAAGGACTTACCCTAAAATGGAGCCTTCCAGCGGCGTGCACCTGGTCTACCTTCTGGGTTCGTAAGCTCCGGTCGCCTGACTGTCCAAACTGCGATGACGTCATTCCCGTGCATGGGCGTGGGAGTCCTGAGTCCTGGGCCACGGCACAGTGGGGGGGAATGGCACGGGTATGATGTTCCTTCAGAGCGCATGTACCGGCTCTCAAAAAGATCTAATATCTCCTAAACGATGCATGTTTAGAAGATACTCATCTTACCTACAGGTCAGCTTTATTATAGGCTTATCTATAGGTAAAATTATTACAAAAGAGTTTATTGCCACTTTAAGGTAAAAAAAACCTTTTACCTTTACAACCACTTTAACACTACTGTGTGGCCTGTTCACAGTGCAAAGGAATTCATTTCTGCACAGAGATCCCCAACCACGGTTCTGACTCTAGAGTTTTATTACCAAATTTTACATTGCTCCCAAAATAGATGTCTTTCTGTTAATCCACACTATCAAATAATCCCTACTGACAGCTGGTATTACAGTACAAAATACAACTGGAAGTATAATCGCCAAGCATAATTGTGAACAAACAAACAGCAGCACTGTTCACAATGCCCCAGTATGTGGCTCCAGCTGGCTCATTTCCTGCTACCAGGTGCTGGGTTTGTCTAGAACAGGCTTGTCAAGACTGTGGCTACAACAAAATGGTGCATTAAATCATATGAAACATTTTAGGGGGGTGTTCTCCCACAAATGGAGAACAGGCTCAAACCATTTTAAGACAATTGGGACCACAGTGTGCATAAACAGTGTATGGGGAGGTGCTATTTTGTTATAGCCACATAAATCAATGGCCATGTACAATACAGGAATTAAAGAGATTGTAAAACTTTTTTGAATTAAAATAATAAATATGTCATATTTACCTGCTGTGTGCAATGGTTTTGCACATAACAGCTCTGATCCCCCTTTTCTAGGGTCCCCCGACAGCACTCCTTGCCTACAGAGAGTTCCCCCAGAGAAGGCTGCCTCCTACCGAGACACTAGTGTGTGCTTGACCCCAAACTGGGCTGTTTGCGTCTATTCAGACACACAGCCCGACTTGGTCCTGTCCCTTGCCCTAGGGTTTTGACTGGCAGCAACACAAGCCATTGACTCCCACTGCTCTCTGCAAAGCCTATGAGAGACGGGAGAGGGGAGAGGAGCTACTGCAGACGTGCACAGCGCTGGACCAAGATCGGGGCCAAGGTGAGTATTTAGGGGAGGTGACTACTAATTAAAAGGTTTATTACTTTAATGCAGAGAATGCATTAATGTAAGAAAAACCTTTTACCTTTATAACTACTTTAACACTGCTGTGTGGCCTGTTCACATGGCTTCGGCTCTAGAGTTTCATTACCCAATTTTACATCGCTCCCAAAATAGATGTCTTTCTGTTAATCCACAATAACAAAGAATTCCTACTGACAGCTGGTATTACAGTACAAAATACAACTGGGAGTATAATCACCAAGCATAATTGTGTAATTGCTTCGTAAAGTCCTGGTACGTTTGATCCTCTACCATAAAATTCAATTAACAACTTCAATATACAGCAGGCTAGACATGCTAATGAAGGAAAGTATTTTGTTGGCTAGTGCAAAATACACAATCCTAATATAACAAATATAAACAAAATTACAGACAGGACTATTTACCTAGTAGGCACTTACCTCCAATGGACATGTAAAATATGAATATGTAGCTGTATATGCCAATATGTTCAAATTACACTTTTCAATGTTCAAATGTATGCAGGTGACACCTTCCCATTCCTGACCTAATCTTGGCTGTTTCTATACTAAAAAACTAAAACCGCACACGCTACTAGTATTAGAATACAAGTTTGATGTCATGTTTTTATATCATAAACCTGCCAACAGCAATAGCTAAAAGAGAACATATAAAAATTATATGATTTTTTTATTTTATTGATATTTTTAGAAAAAGGATTGAATGTGACAATTATACACACAAAAAGGGATGTGGTACAAGCAAAATTCAAAACAATCAGCAATCCTCTCTTAAAGGGCCCCCACTCCCAATAGCAATATTTTAGTTATATGTGGGACCTGGTTGCCTGATTTAGCCACTGGCTTCAAATCTGCTTTTGGATGCTGCCACAACGAGATCTCTCTGCTATTATTTCTGGCTCTGTTCCTGTCTGCCATGTAGTTTTGTGTGTTCCAACTCCCCCAGTATATCACATAATCTAAAATAAATGGAAAAAATCCAAAGGAAGAGTGAGAATTCATCACAATGACAGGACTTTAGAGCCATGAACTTAAAGTGAATCTGTTTTTTGTCTAAGTAGGGCAAAGCAACAGTTGTATTCTTAGGTTGTCCTCCCAGCAGCACCTATTAAAGGAGAAGTACGGCCAAAGCTCGTTTGGTTTACTTCTCCTGTGGATCACAGGAGTGCAGTTCGTTCTGCACTTTTGTGACCCATTTTTAGCCAACAGCAGGCTAAAGCTCGCTGTCAGCTGACATCATAGCACGTGGGGGATCCACCCAGGAGTCTGGATCGGCACCTGGCTTACCCTCTCATTGGTCCGCTGACAGCCTGAGCCTTCTGCTCCCTGACGAGGCACTGGTAGGTGGCACTGATGGGCATTGACAGGCATCACTGATGGGCACTGAAAGGCAGCACTGATACATGGCACTGATAGGCAGCACTGACTGGCACTGATAGGTGGCACTGATTGGCAGCACTGATAGGTGGCACTGATTGGCATTGATAGGTGGCATTGACTGGCACTGATGGGTGACACTGAAAGGCAGCTCAGATGGGCACTGATATGTGGCATTGATGTGCACTGGTAGGCACTGATATGTGGCATTGATGTGGCACTGATGTGCACTGGCATGAGGCACTGATGAGCACTGACACAAGGCATTGATGGACACTGACAGGTGGCCCTGCTGGAGCTACACTGATCATCAGGGCACACTGATCATCAGTGCCCTGATGATCAGTGTACATGTCCCCTCCGCAGAAAGCCGATTACCGGCTCTCCTCTCCTCTTGAGCTGTCAGCGTGACAGCACGAGAGGAGAGAAATGCCGATAACCGGCATTTCCCTGTTTACATGTGATCAGCTGTGATTGGACACAGCTGATCACATGACCGAGTCGACATCTTTGGCTCTTTCCATGATCGGTGATCCGCTGTGTCCAAGGGGCACAGCACACCACCGATCGCCGCGCTGCGTGCTCCCTGAGCCGCGCATGTGCAGTGAGAATGGGAAGACGTCATAGGACGTCCTCCCAGAACGGGAGAACCACCTTGCGTCCGTCATATTACTATATGGTGGGCGGGAGGTGGTTAAAGAAAGGTGTGTATATTCTGGGAGGAGGATTAAAGCAAAACATAGGTTTGCTTTAAGCAAAGAGATCTCACCTACAGGCCCTGAGAAAAAGAAACTTTTATGTAGTGTATATGTGAAGGAGTTACTATAAACCTAAATATCCTTTTTGAATGGACTAACTTTTAACTAACTGACACAATTCTTACCATTAACAGATCTTCTGTTTCCTTGGATTCTTTTTCTGTAGGTAAATCTACTTTTTCTTGGGTTGGGCTTTCCTTATTTTCTGAACCATGTGAGTTGTTCTGAGTAGAATGGAAATACTGATAGTAAACACTTTGGGATGACATTCTGGGCTGACATTTTATCTCAGGTTTTGATGAAGACAATCCAGAATCTGTCACCATTTGTAGTGGAGAAGGAGAAGTCACAGGAGCAGCATCTATTGACAGACCTTTATTATGAATGGAGCTAGATTCACTCGGTGTTGATGGTGAAAGTTCATTTTCAGCAGTTGGTTTTGGGCTAGTTTCTACAGAAGGTTTTGCACCAACTGTAGAAGACTGTGATACTAAGTTTAGGATTAAAGACTGCCGACCAGGACCTGGATTCAGCTTGTTTTTTGCTTTTGTAATGAACAAACCAGATTTTTTTCCTCCAGATGTTGTTTCCTCTAATGGCATTTTCTGAGCATCAAGATTTGACTTAGTTGGAGAAGGCATGTTCTCCTGTGTCCTTGATGTATCTGTATTATCCAGAGCACTGACAGTAGCTGCTTCATTGAGAGATGTCGAATTTCCTCCAAAACACATTTCTTCTATGTTGGCCTCCTTTAAGCGATCTGAAACAGACTGCAGTAGAGATAAAATTGATGTATGATCATTAGAACCACTACCTGTTGTTCCTATTTTATGCCTTGGTGAGCTGCTATTGGATGCAGCATCTTCACAAGAGCTATCATCCTCATATATAGGAGAGAGAGAAAGGGGATAAATCTTCACACGCCTTGATGGTACAGTCAGAAACAAGTCAGTTGCACTGGCCTGTCCATTATCACCAGATTCTTCCTCTGTTGCCTCATCATCACTTCCTATTTCAACATATTTGCTATTATACAGTGAAAACTGAAAAGGATCAAATACTTCTGTTCCAGAAAAGCACATATTTTCACTTAATAAACTATTAATAAAAAAGGTGTGTTCATAGAACCTTCGGTTTCAAAAGATTTAGAGTAAAAGCCTTCTTGGTCTCCATCAAGTCCTAAATCAAACATCAGATTTTCATTCCCTGTATCACCCTGTATAATTTCTTCCAAGTTAGAATAGCTGCCATCTTGTCCACTAATTCCATTTCGTGATTTCTCTCTATCAAGGTGTCGGGAACCATTCAAAATGTCCTCTGTATCTCCTACCCTTTTCAAGCCATTGTTCTCTTTAGTCCCTTCAACTGAACCACTTGTTGGAGTTGGTAGCAATACATTACAATTGACTTCATAAGAACTGAAAAGTACCGGACTGTCAATATCTAACAAAGAAATGGTTTTGTTTTTTGAGTTTCTAATGTTCTCATCTGGGCCATTTACACTACCCATAGATGTCTGTGTACAGCCATTATTTGTACCAATGTTTTTGTCCAAACTATTTTGCATGCACTGCTTTGATGAGTATATATAACATCATTTACCAATTCTGATGCTACAACTGATATAAATGGATCACTGGTCAGATTCTGCAATCTTTTTCTGGATTTCTCTGGGGCTTCTGCTTCATCTTCTGTAGAACAGTCCTTCACCATCTGGAATAAATAGTTCTCAGCTAATGTTTCTTTACCTGTACCTAAACTTGATGCATTTACATGGTTTTTATTTAGGTTCTGAAATTCATCAATAGCAGAATGCAACACTGAGAGAATTATTTCGCTGGCTTTTTTCTCAAACAATTCAGTGGATAACTCTGAATGTTCTGTGCTTGGAAGGGACATTTTTGAAGTTGCAGAGTCTGAAGAATTGATGCCATCTGTGAAGTTTACATCCCTTTGAAATGTAGACTCAAGGATTACATCTCTCTCCTTTACTGGATCTTTATGAGTCATATCGACATTTGGATGGAATTCTGACAGTGAATCACAGCTTTGTAGCTCCCAGTGTGAATCGTCAGACATTAGTGACTCATTTGCTAAGTCATTTTCTGATGTGCTGGATTGCAGTGATATATTTATGATGTCATCATTTGTATCGATCATCAAATTGTTATTTTTCAGATTTTCTATAAGTACATCAGGCGATTTATTTGGTAACAATGGTAAATCTTTTTCTAGAAATGTGTACTGTGGAATATTATTACCGACGTAGTCATTCGAAAACAAATTTACAACATTCTCAACTACATCAATTTCATTTAATGGTGGAAACCTTTCAGCTTCCATATAGCGGTCTGAGGGTTTTTCATGATTATTGCAATCCAAAAATAGGCTGGATTCATGAAGCGACAGATTTACATTATTCACAGTTAGGTCTTTTCCATTTATGTCAGAAGGCACTCCTGTATTTGTGACAATATTTTCTACATCCTGATGAAATTTTAAATTTGAATCTTTGAATTTGCTGTCATATTTTGGCTCTGGAGGTGGAGGCGAAGAGTTTGGAAAACGTACAAGCTCTTTCTCAAATGTTGCGCTTTCAACTCTACTTATTGAAACTATATCTGAGTGGAATTCAAAAGGAGGAAGTTTTACTTCTTCAATGTTAACAGCTTTCACTGACACTTTGGCAACATAAACATCTGAATTCAAGTTTACTTTCATTCTATCATTTGTTGAAAGTTTACCTGACACATCCCCATACATATCTGCTACACCACTGTCCACAAAAAATACATGTTCCACACTTTGTGAGCTATTTGCTCCTGTCTGGTTTTCTGTTTCCTCTGTTAATGGATCATTTTGTTTTTTGGCAGCATAATCAAGAAGAGGATCTACAATTAGAGTGTTCTCTATATTTTCAATTTTGGACAATTGATCAACATGTTCGGGTCTTTTGACCTCTTGGTCGGTATTAAAAGGAGCAGATATGCTTTCGTTGAATATTTCAGGAGGAAATATTTTAATTGTCATTTGTTCTTCTGGTGTGTATGCCTGTGATGAAACCATCCCTGAGTCAATGGCATCTGAAAGAGGTAGAGGGCTGTCACACCTTATGTCGGTGCAATCAGTAGAACATGGAGAGACAGATATAGTTGAAGAAGGCGATCGACACTCAATTCCATTGTCAAAAGAAACAGTTCTGGCAGTATCTGTTACATGAGATGAACCAGTATTTAAAAAGGTTTCTGGCACAGACTTCACATCTGATATCTTGCTACCCTGGGCATTTTCATTAACTAAAATGGTCCCAGATGTGTTATTATCTGCAAGTGATGCCATGTTAAATTCATTTAATGTATCATCACTAGTTTCAACATTTGTTTGTTGCTGTTCTATAATCATTGGGGTTTCCTTTGCTTCTGTTTGAGGTTCTTTTGAAACCTTCAGACTGGGCTGTGCATTTACTACTGCCTTGTCTATAACTAATGATTTACATAGTCCAATTGGTTGCAAATTGTCCTTCTCTGTGAAGTTACCATTAGTGAATATTTCTTGCTCAGTATCTCTACTCTGTATTGTAGAAACTATTGTAGCTTCAGCAATCACATTTGTGTTTGCTTCTTCAAGCTTACAGTTTTCATCTGTGTCTTTTTGTAAGTCTTTTTGGATGCTTAAATGCATATTTTCATAAGGCTGTAGATCTACAGTGTTCTTTGGAATTTCTTCAACTTTGGGCTGTGATTGTTCTGAAATGCTTTTTGTTCTCCTGTACATTTAGCTGGATATCTTCTGTTCCTCTCAAATGTTCTGCTTCGATCAGCGATACATCTTCTTTGATTAATCTCTGGTTATCAAAGTTGGTTTGTGCATTAAAGGCTGCCTCTTGAGTTGAACTTTTCTCAGGGGCTAATGGCTTCTCAGTGGTCACGGTGCTTTCTGAAATAGTGCCTACAGAATTCACAAGTCTCTCCAAGTTTTTTCAACTTTTCAAGATGTTTGCTTGTCTGGTCACTTTGGTGTTCCTTTAGCAATGTTTTACTTTCAGTATTTGTCTGTAGATCCTCTGTAACATTTGAAGAATTATTTTCCAGAGAGCTTTGTGAACTTATAGCTAACTTAATGTCTTTTAAATATGGATCCACCGATATATTTGTGCTTTTTTCAAGGATGGCCTGCTGATTCTCCAGAATTTCTACATTTTCTTTGGAATTTAAATTTAGATTATTTGGAAAATGTGAGACATTTTTTGATATTTTTACAGTTTTTGTATTCTCTGTGGGTATTGGCTGAAAATCCATAACATTTTCTGCAGCAGTTTCTGAGCTTTCCTCAAAAACCTGCTTTAATTCATATAGACTCTTTGGGATTTCATCTTTGTTTGGTTGTAAAGTCTCTAATATCTTAGAAGTCTGCTCAGAATGTTTCTGATGATTTTCTAAAATATTTGGGCTTTCTTCTTTTCCTTGCACATTGCCAGAAATTGGATAGCTTTCCCCTGAGTGCAGATTATTTGGTTGTAGATCCTCTAACTTTTTAATTTTTTTATCTGAATCAACAGAAATGTTTGAACTATTGTCATTTTGTGGTGACAAATCTAAGCTAAAATTTAATTTATTATCAAATTTCAATTGTAGACCTTTGGAATCGTCTAAGTTCTTCTCCACATTTACTTGTAAGTTTTCTGAAATGTTTAACCTCTTCTCGGGATTTGGTGGTAAATCACTAGAAATCTTTAAGAGCACTGTAGAAACTGGTTCCACTGCACATCTTAATTTGCTTTCAGCATTTGACTGTAGATCTTCTGAAATGTTTGCATTTTTCTTTAAATTTAGTAGAAATTCCTTGGAAGTGTTTGAACTGTTTGTGTTATCAAGTGATAAATGAACTGACATGTCTGATCTTTTCTCAGCATGTATCTGTACATTGTTCGATATTTGTGAGCTCTCCTGAGTGATTGTTTCCATATCCGCTAAAATGGTCGACCTCTCTATAAAATTCAGTTCTTGGCTCCTTAAAAAAGCAGAATTAACTTCAACATTTTCTTTCACGTCCTCAACCTTATGTGATAAAGATTCATCTTTTTGGTTTGGAACTGATATCATGGAAATAACGTCTGCCTTTTGTTTCAAGTCCTCAACTTTATGTGATTTAGATTCACTATTGCTGTTGGAAACAGACACTAGGGAACCAACTTCTGCATTTTGTTTCAAGCCCTCGCCATTATGTAAATTATATTCACCATTCTGGGATAGAACAGAAACTATAGAACCGTCTTCTGCATTTTGTTTTAAGTCCTCAGCTTTATGTACATTTTTTTCACCATTTTGGGATAAAACATAAACTATGGAACCATCTTCTACATTTTGATTCAAGGCCTCATTTTTATGTAAATTATTTTCCCCATTTTGGTATAGAACAGAATCTACGAAACCATCTTCTGCATTTTGTTTCAAGTTTTCATCTTTATTTAAATTATTTTCACCATTTTGGGATAGAACAGAAACTACGGAACCATCTTCTGCATTTTGCTCCAAGACTTCAACTTGTGAATTAGATTGACCAATTTGGGTTGTAACTTGGACCTTTGGTTGCATCTTCATCTTTGTTTGGATTTTGGATGGTGGAATCTCCTCCTCAGAGCTTCTGCTTGTGATTGGTTTCTCTATCTCATGTAACATATGGTGGTCCTCTGTGCAAACATTTCCGGTAATACTTGTTTCTTTTTCACTGATCTCTTCTTTCTCAGGTATTGGAGAATCTACATCAGCACGTCTTTTTATGAGCTTCCTGATCCTCCGGGATCCACGGTAGGTGCCATATGTTATTGCTGGGGCTTCCTGGGGATAGCCATTGAGCCTGCCAAAAATATTTATATAAATGTTACAAGCGTTCTTTCAAAGGTATTTAAAAATGATATATATATGTATATCAACTTAATGTAAATATTGTTTTAATTTCTCCAGAGCTTCCCCCATCCTCTGGAACTCTCTACCCCAATTTATTACTCTGCTCACTTTTAGGCAATCTCTGAAAACCTATCTCTTCAGGGAAACCTATCCTGCCCTCAGCTAATAATGGAATCTTTTACTGTTCCTACCAGTCCATCCCCCACAGTTACTACCTTTTGTACCACTAGCCCCTCTGTCCTAGATTGTAAGCTCCAAGGAGCAGGGCCCTCCTATCCCTCTTGTATTGAACTGTATTGTTGCTGTATTGTCTCCTTTTATATTGTAAAGCGCTGAGCAAACTGTTGGCGCTATTTAATTTCTCCAGAGCTTCCCCCATCCTATGGACCTCTCTACCCCAATTTATCAGACTATCGCCTACTCTGCTCACTTTTAGGCAATCTCTGAAAACCTATCTCTTCAGGGAAGCCTATCCTGCCCTCAGCTAATAATGGAATCTTCTACTCTTTCTACCAGTCCATCCCCCACAGTTACTACCTTTTGTACCACTAGCCCCTCCGTCCTAGATTGTAAGCTCCAAGGAGCGGGGCCCTCCTATCCCTCTTGTATTGAACTGTATTGTTGCTGTATTGTCTCCCTTTATATTGTAAAGTGCTGAGCAAACTGTTGGCGCTATATAAATCCTGTATATAATAATAATAATAATAATGTGCATGCAAGGTGAATCTCTTTTAACTTCAAATACTCAATCACATGCTAGCAAATATCCTGTTTTTGTTTTGTTTCCCTTTAGCTCCTGGATATATAAGATGAACACAGCTTTATGTTATTCGCTGTCATTCACTTTGCCAGGTTGACAGCCTCAATTCCTTTAGTAAATCAATGCCACTGCATTTAATGGGGGGTCAATTTAAAAAAATAATCAGACAGATTATTACTTCTTAACCCTTTCTCTTGTACTGTACTGCATCTCAAAAAGCAAAACCAGTTTTACTCTCTTTTTCACTTGCACGTTACAGACTTGAAATTTTTTGAAGATACCTCCAAACCATGTACCTGTAAAGAACAGGTCCTATAAATTGATAACTGCTACATGATTTTGTAAGTTCCACAACAGCTGAACAAATGTTTATGAAAACTATAACTATGAAACACTGTAAAATCATTATTAGCACATGCAAAAATAATATAGTTCCACAAAATCCTAATAATTATAAAAGTTCAATTTGTATTTAGTCTATAAACACAAAGTAT